TGGCCCCCAGCACTGACTCAGCGGAGGAGTCACTTGCTGGCCCACTACGTTGTAGGTCTGCCCGCTGGTCAGCCCGCGTTTTGGGTATAGGTGCCTGCTATGCGTGATCCCCACTAGGCGATCCCATATGCTTATTCCGCCACGGTTAAGTCCCCCCCCTGGACGGACCCGTGTCTTCCCTCTCCGCTAACCACTCTTTTGCTATGCGTACTCCCCCTTTTTAGGGCTAGTCCATTGGTAAATTCTGCCATCTATCCCCCCCTTGGGTAACGGATGGCCTCCGCAGCGTCCTCCCTATCGGGATTGCACGCTTCCCAACGTACTGTCGTATTTCCTAGAATTATCTAGATGCTCACGACTTCCCAAAAAATATATCTAAATCCGTAAAACTTCTGTTGAAGTAGGATAAATTAGGGCCAGGGACACGTTGGAGGACCGCGCCCCCCATGATGTGGGTGCGTCACGCTTGCTTGACTATCTCCTCATCGGGGGTGTTGGTAAGGTGCAGTCATTATGGCGCTTTCCATATTCTCCCATTCATAGCACTGAAGTTCCCCAACCGAAGGGGAACGTTCGAGGTTACAGAAGTAACCCTTCGTTCCCCGAGGAGGGGAACGGAAGTGCCATATTCCGTCGCCATAATGACTGTCCCTTAGCTGTTTGAAAGTCTCTTCAGCTTAAAAGGATGGCGTCTGCTGGCTTCAGGTGTGCTTATATGCTGAGATAATTGCAGATGTCGCACACCTGCGCAAGCTTACGCTGACAATTAATTTCATTCATTGGCCCGTTCAATACTCTCCAGATAAGCGGCTTCTGATCCGAATCCTCCCATTCATGGCACTTCCGTTCCCCTCCTCGGGGAACGAAGGGTTACTTCTGTAACCTCGAACGTTTCTGTGTGTGCATTCTGAATGGCATTTTGTGTAAATGACAGTTCAGTCTGCACAGATCTAGGATTGGCCTTAACCCCCCGCTCTTTTTGGGCACAATGAAATACGGGCTGTAAAACCCGGACCTCATCTCGGCTGGAGGGACCTGCTCGATTGCATCCTTTGCCAGGAGGACAGCAATCTCCTCTCGCAAGACAGGGGCATTCTCGGGGATGACCCTCGTGAAAAGGACACCCGTGAACTTGGGAGGGCGAATGGCGAATTGTATCGGGTAGCCGAGTCTGACCGTCCGTATGAGCCACCGCGACGCACTGGGCAGTGCTAACCAATCTGACAGAGCACGCGCTAATGGCACCATCGGATCGATTGCTGATGTGCCAGCGGAGGGGCAGCTCGGGATGGGAGTGCTCATCCTGGGAAGCGGTGCGGCCCGAGGAAGAGCAGAAAATAAGATCTAATTATCTCTATTACCTTCCTCCCTGGATCCTGTGGTGAGGCCGGAGTGAGAGAAAAGAGTCCGTTCTGCTGCACTCTAAGGGCCGGAGGGGAAGAGTCCCGGTGCAGCGAGCTGGAAGGCGGAGCGTCCCAGACTGGCAGTGCTCGGGTTTGCGCATCCGGAGAGAGAGGAAACTGCTCGCTTGGCCGGTGGAGCGGGCAGCGGAGCGGATGTTGAAGCCGCGGGTGGACGCCCTCGGCTAGGAGCGGCCGCAGCGGAAGGGGCAGCGGGAGGAGCAGTTTTCCGAGCCCGCTGGTAGATGACCTCCCCCATCGCCTTGGACTGCTCTTTCACCGCAGAGAATTCCCGGGTGAACTCCCCAACAGTGTCGCCGAACAGGCTGGCCTGAGATATGGGAGCATTGAGAAAGCAAGTTCAGCCAGAGGTGGCGTTCCTGGACGCCTAATGTGGCCATCGTCTTCCCCAGGGCACGGGCAGCTGATTTGGTGGTCATGAGAGCGTAATCAGTAGCTATGCGGAGCTCATGCATCAAGCCTGGGGTAAACCCTCCCTCTTGCATCTCACCCAGCTTCTCGGCTTGGTAGCGTTGATAAGTGGCCATAGCGTGCAGAGCAGAGGCGGCCTGATCTGCAGCGGTGTAGGCTTTGGCCGTGAGAGACTCAGAAAACCTGCACGCTTTGGACGGGAGTTTGGTTGGACCTCTCCAAGTAGAGTGGCTCTGTGGACACTCTATTGGCCGCGATTGGCCACGATAGCGTGCTCCACCTGGGGAATCGCCTCATAACCCCTGGCCGCTCCTTCATGGAGAGAGGTGAGAGCGGGAGCGAACGAGGTCTGGGCAGATAAAGGTGCCCTCCATGCCTGCGTGAGCTCTCTGTGTACCTCCGGGAAGAAGGGGACGGGGGCTCTAGAAAGCTTTGCCTTTTTCTTCACCCCCACGTAGCATCCGTCTAAGCAATCCGGCCATGGTTCTGGGGGACAAGCCATCTCCAGTCCCATGGCTGAAGCAGCCCGGGATAACACGGCTAACATGTCTGATTCCAGGTCCGAAACCTCGCTGAAAGCCCCGGAAGGTGGCAGGGGGTCCGGATCTTCATCGGAGCATGTCAACCCGCCCTCCGATGCTTCGATGGACATCACGTCCCCGGTGTCATCTAATGAGAGCGGGGCCAGCCTGGAGGATGGACCAGCGCTCGCACTCGAAGCAGAAACAGAGCGCACTGATGAGGAGCGAGGGGTCCGCAGGCCTGAAGGCGACGAATTAGCCCCCACTGTAACTCCTTAGGCCTGCCCGAGTGCTAACCGCTTGGCGGGGAGCAGCAGGGGTGACTTGCCCTAATAAAAGAGCTCGCCGCGACCTCAGTTGCGCAACAGTCAAGCTATCGCAGTGCGGGCAAGAACTGTCCGCGAGCAACGCATCAACATGTTGGACCCACAAGCATGTGATGTAATACTCGTGCCTGTCATCCGGGACGAGGAAACCACCACATCCAGAAACGAAATGACATCTTTAAAAACATGTGCTGCACGACTGTGCTCTCTTAGGGAATTTTGCTCCAGTTGAAACTGCTCTTTGGAACACCTGTGAAACACCTGGGAAACCCAGCTCGACTGCCACTATAACATCTTCCCTCGCACTGGTAAAAGGAATGCTTTCTTCATTCCGAAGTCAGCTAAGAAGAAAGGGTTCTCCAGGTCTCAGATTAGGTCTGAAGCAACAATTCTGACGAGCTAACTCACACAGCCGACTGATATAGCCCTAATTGGCTCATCAGTTTCAAGACAATTTAGACAGGTGCTACGTGGAGGCCATGATAAAACCTTCTCAGCCCCCTGTCTCCTTCTTTCCGGAAAAGCATGAGGAACTTACATGGGCTTGGAAGGCTTTGACAGGGGGTACGTAGCCATTCCGTAGGTTGAGATAGCGATTGTGGTCAACCTCTGCTAGCAAGACGCCTCCACTTTGCGGATTTAGCCCCGTCTCCCATTCCATGTTCCCACAAGCTTTTACAAAGGTCATAGAGTGTGCTTTACTGCCACTCTAGCAGTATGGCATTTGCATTCTCAATTACCTTGACAATAGGCTAATGCTAGTTCAATCTCGGAGCCAATTGTTAATGCACAGCTCTCACACCTGAGCCGATTGGGGTTACAGGTGAACAGGGAAAAAACAAACTCTCCCTTGTACCAAACATCTCTTTTCTCACTGTGGAGCTGGACTTGGTCGCCACTAGCATGCACCTTTCCCGAGAACACGCCTCGTCAATGTTGACCTGTCTGGAGTGATTCAGAAAAACAGCCGTGGTCACACTGCTCCACTTCAGCATCGGATACACAATCGAGGTCCCAGATGGACATCGCGCACTGGCACACAGCAAGTAATTTTAACCTGTGGACGGACCTTGCCTTCTTGTGGGCCGGCGTGCCTGTTGTATATAACTCCAATACATTATGATAGGTCAGTTGTATGACTAATCATATATGCACTGTTATTTTAAAGTTTAACAATTCATATTAAAGATGGATTTTCAGTCATTTTTTATAAAACGTGTTTTAAGTAATTTTTGGGGGTTTTTTTCTAATGCTATACACCATATTACATTAACAAAGGCAGTGGTCCAGCTCCTAAACAACAAACAAACCACATCCAAAACATAGCCCATACACAAAATATGTTTCACTTGAAATAATTTAGCTTTATATTCGTGTTAATTTTTTGGACCCAAAAACCTCACCCGCAAAACCTAGAACACTAATCATTTGATTAGTCTAATCCTTGATGGATTCTCAGTTCAGTCCTCATCTTCAGTCAAAAATTTGGGGGTGATTTTTGATAGCAACCTCTCGTTAAAGGCCAGATTTCAAGCATCGGTGAAACTTGTTTTATCTTAAAAATGTTGCCAAACTTTGACATATGCTATCATTGTCTGATGCAGAAAAGCATAAATAATGCAAAAATATGATGACTGTAATACGTTACTAGGCAGTTGCCCTGTAGGCCTAATTAGCAAATTGCAGTAGGTTCAAAATCAGCTGCCATAGTGCTTTCTAGAACAAAGAAATATGATGATATTGCTCCAGTTCTTTCATTATTGCATTGGCTCTCTATATATATCAGATACACTTTTTTATTTTATTGTCTACCTACAAAGCCCTGAACAACTTAGCTGCCCAGAATTTGAGGGAGCTCCTTCTGTGTTAAGTCTTCTATGATGCTTCTGCCACCAAAACAAAAGGCCAGAGCACAAATTGTTTAGTTAAACAAAAAGATTTATGATGATAATATATATATATATATATATAATGATATATATATCATTTTAAACAGCTGTTAATGGAAAAACTATTTATTGTGCTGGTATGTTTTAGTCTCCATTTGATTCAATTTATATTCAGTCAGACAGGACAGGCTTCCCAAACTTGCTATATTTTGTATAGGTAGATTAAGTGTCAGGAAAATACATAATTTCATAATATTCTCTTTGATGGACTCAAACTCGACTCGGACCTCTCATACCCCAGTCTTGACTTGGACCCAAATGAGCTGGTCTCAACTGGAACACTGTCTAATAATGTACATATATGCTTTACCAAAATATTGTGTTTGAAAAACAAAAAAAGGAGGGTTGAAAAGAGTTTGAGTCATGTTCTGCTAATACTGCAGCATTTAATGCTAACTTAAGACTTCAATGTAGCACACACAAACATTCACATATCTCTGTCTAACGTATACTAAGCTTTATATAGTCAATATACATGCATTTTAAAGTGAAATTACAGAAGTTTATACAGAATGCAGATTACAGTGTAAGCCTCAGAATCATCTGTGTTCTTCACAGTATGTATAGAAGAATGAACTACCATTATGGTGCTTTTTGGCATTTTTAAAGCCCCTAGGTTATTGTTGACCTTCTTTGTACAGCAACAAGCTATATCAACATTCTTCTAAAATTTCAAATTTTGTGCTTTCTTTTATTTAAAATGAGAACATAATTCTCATTTGGATTAACATGCATGTTAGTGGCATAAATAGTTCGGTCAACTAATACTTAAAAGGAAAAACATAATGCATCTGCAAGTAATATGAACTGGCAAAAAATTTAGAAGCTCAGAATGATCAACAAAGCCAGAAAACTTTTTAATCTCATTTAGATCTCCTCTGTCAAGACCCGGGCCATTCTGAAGGTCAGTTTGCTTTCAAGAAGAGGATCACTGGCCTCCACCAGCAGCATCAAACATTTTCTTTCTGCCCTCCATTCCAGACATAGCTTCCACGTTCTTACGCCAGTCACCAACCTCACTGGTCAAAACCTGTTTGAGACAAAAGAGCAATGCGTAGTGCTTGATGCCACCTATTGCTATAATGTGGAGTTTTATGTTTTTAGTTATTAGCTTTTCGGTTTTGTGTTTTGCCTTACCTTTTCTTGTTTGATATCCTCCTTTTTGACTGACTTTAGATTTGCACGAAGGTCCATAGAGCCTTTGTGTTTGGATCCAAGCAGGGCCCGCATCATCTCATCAGCAGATACACGCACCTTCCTTAAGGCAGGTTTCTTGAACTTCCCTCCAAGATCCTGAACTTTCAACTTAAGCTCATTTATCTAAAATCAAGAGTATGCAACATTTTCATTTACAGGGAGTGCATAATTCAATTCAATTCAATAAATTTGTATTTTTATAGCAGTTTTAAAGTCAAAACAGCTTAACATAGAAGATATAGTAAATTGAAACTGTCAGTCCAGTTTTCTGTTCAAGTTCAGTTTAGTCCAAAGTCCAAATACTGAAAAACAAATCCATCGATGAGCAGCTCCACAAGTTCTGAACTATGCAAGCATGAAGAATAAACCCATAATACCTGAGGAAATGCTGACTGTAAGAACTTCCATTAATCATTTAGCAAAAACTGTACTTTACAGGATACAATAGTTTTTCACAGGCACAGTGTTTTAATGGGAAAGTTCTACTATATTAAAATATAAATATTCATAATAGTACCTTAAGGTTATTTATTGCGACTCTAAAGTACTAAAATGAAAGTTAATGAGGTACACAGTTGTGATTTTAAGGGTACTGCCTCAATGACAAGTTGCTAAGCACAAGGTGATTTGTACAAATTTTGTATATTTTTGTGTAAAGGTGGCTATTCGAGATGGATGTAACTCCAATGTTATTTGACTTTTGTGTTGCCTTATCAATAAACTAACATCTATAACTGGGAGAACATTACCATAACAATTTTTTCAACTAAAATGGAAAAAAAAAATGATTGTTTTTCTTTCCTTTCCCTTCCCACTTCCGATCCTCTTTTCGGTGGCCAAAAATGCACAGTTAAAAAAAAAAAATCGAAAGTGCAATTTTTAGAAAATCTATACTGTTTTCATGTCTTTGAAAACTACAAAAAACATGATTTTGTGAAAAATGTTATATGTACATATTACGTCATCTGTGTATAGACATGTGGACAATAAGATTAAGTTTGCATGTAGTTTAAAATTCAGCAAATTCATGTCCACTACTGGCCTGACATGTGTTATACATCATAAATGGAGATCAATTTGATACCACTGCAATATGTGTGGAAAACTGTACAAAAGCACAAAGGAAAGTGTTTTATTTAATTATTATGTAAATGTACCCAAATTTAAAACCCCTGGTATATCCTGAATACTCCTTATTTATTTGCTTTATACTTACATCTTTGTTGTGTTTTTTTACTTTATCCTCGTAGTCGTACCTCTCTTCATCTACTGTGTCAATTTTGGAATAAAGTTGCTTACACAGATTCTAAAGATGAAAATGCAACATTAATAAACACAGCTGTTTAAGAGCATGTTTAGCTAACAGCTTTTAATTCAGATATCCTCTTCTTGAATTTATCACCTGTAACTCCTCTAGTGAGAGTCCAGATAGCTGTAAAGGAGGGTGTTTTTCTTTAAGGTAGCAATTTTTCTCTTCAAGCCTCTCCTGTTTCTCTCTCTCCAAATCTTCCATCGCTCTGTTAAGAAGCATTATCTAATTGAAAATAGAAGAACTTTATTACCAATTTCACAACAAACATGTAACACTCTAGAATGGGAAACACATGCAGTGCATCTGGAAAGTAAAAGTCTGAAGCAGTAGGTAGAGCTGTCGCCTCAGAAAGAATGTCGCTGGGTCGCTGGTTCGAACTTCGGCTCAGTTGGCGTTTCCGTGTGTAGTTTGCATGTTCTCCCTGCCTTCGCGTGGGTTTCCTCCGGGTGCTCCAGTTTCCCCCACAGTCCAAAGACATGCGGTACAAGTGAATTGGGTAGGCTAAATTGTCCAAAGTGTATGAGTGTGTGTGTGTGTGTGTGTGTGTGTGAATGTGTGTGTGGATGTTTCCCAGGGATGGGTTCAGTTGGAGAGCATTCGCTGCGCAAAAACTTGCTGGATAAGTTGGCGGTTCATTCCGCTGTGGCGACCCCAGATTAATAAAGGGACTAAGCCGACAAGAAAATGAAATGAAATGTTGCCAATTTATAAAAAATAAAAAACCTGAAAACTCTCATGTACATAAGTATTCACAGTGTTTGCTTAATACTTTGTCGATGCATTTTTGGTAGCAATTACAGCCTCAAGTCTTTTTGAATATGATGCCACAAACTTGGCACACCTGTCTTTGGGATTTTTTTGCCCATTCCTCTTTGCAGTACCTCTCAAGCTCTTTTAGATTGGATGGAAAGTGACCGTGTACAGCCATTTTCAGATCCCTCCATAGATATTCTATAGGATCTAGGCCATTTAGCCTTAATATAAGCCTCAATAAATGCCCAATTTGCTGCATATTAACAAGTATTGATGTAGTTGTTATAGTGGTTAAATACGTAAGTACAGGATAGAATTAAGAGATGTAGAGTATGGTCATACAGAATAAGGCATTTGTATAAAATGTATAAGTACAGTAATAATAAATACTTTTTATGCAAACTAAGGAGCAAAAAGTTCAATGTAAGAACTGATACAAATGTCAAAGAGGTAGCGAAAAAAAATTTTAATTATAAAAGGAAAACAAACCTTCAGAGAAAGCTTCCGTGATGCTGAAATCTTGGACTTTGGCTGAAAGAGAGAGAGAGAGAGTAGTGGGGGGGGGGAGAGAAAGAGAGAGAGATTTTGGTATGAGATACTGGTATAATATTACCATAATGTTGCTCTACAAACCAAGACATACTTTGTTGTCCACTTTTGGATTTCCAGGCCTTCGTATCTGCCATATAAAAAGTATAAATAATAATTTTTAAAAATTACATAAATACTAAAAGCAATGTCCATTTCTTTTAATAAATATGGAAAACAGAATGAAAATTAATGCTTACCGGACTGTCGGTATCATTTTGTTAACAACCAAAAATGAAAACAGCCATCATTAAAGCATATATTTTATTATGTTAAATAAAGACTAAAGTTATGTCAAGCATCTGTTTCAGTAAATAATGCATTTTTAGTTTGATCAATTGATGCACATTGCCCCAAATTATCAATATGTCTCTTTGATTATAGGGTATAACGAAGGTTAAGCTCAGTAGTAACTTAGAGAACTTAAATATTTACAAAAAACAAATATAAACTGCTTTATGCATTATAAATGGAAAAAAAAAACATTTACTTACTCGCCCATTGTTAACTCGCCGACTTAAATAGATATTCAACTTGAGATTTCAGATGTAACCTACAAAATAACAAAGAGTCTCAAGACAAAGTCAGTTGTTTAACCTACTGTAAGCATAGATGCTGTACCTGTGTTTTGTCCGGTTGATGGTCATGGACAGGAGGCAGAACAACAGGGTGAGACAAAGGATTTTATAGCCCAGCCACCACTGGCTGGCAGATATAGTGTCTGTTGCCAAAAATGCCTTGGCACTGTTCTAGAGATGAAATATCAGCAGCCGCAAAGCTGTGACAATACAACAATACACAAAAATATACAGAGACTTTTCTTTGGACTGGAACCGAGTTTCTAAACACAAACATAAACAAACAAAAATTTGACACCATCAATATTTATCATCCTCATGCTGATCACCTCTTATAATATTTTGTGATGGGTTGTAAGCAAAACAAAACATACTTCTGTTTTTTGAATTTGATCAAATCTAAAACTAAATTATTGTGCATAAAATGAGTAAAATTTTTTTTAACTTGTTGACACACTAAAAACGTTTAATAAGGTAACACTTTATTTTGATGGACCATTTTAGTATTAGTAGGCCTTCTGCTAAATATCTGTTTATTCTGCTCCTTCAACAGACATTTAACTGACTATAAAAAACTTTGCAAGTACATGTCAACGTACACTAACACTAACCTAACAGTCTACTTAAAATCTAATGAGAAGTTGACATGTAGATGCAAAGTAACTTAAATTCAACAAACGGACCATCATAATAAAGGGTGACCAAAATATTTAATGCCAGAATGCTGAATCTTGGCTACTGATAATTTTTTTTTTTATAGTTTATCTAATAAAAAAATCAATCCTTCTCCTGATTCTTGCATGAAAAGGTATTTTTCCTTAAGTAATATGAAAAGATTGTAGACAGTTTTAGTGAAACAAAAGGGATTGTTCACCCAAAATGTAAGCTTGTCTTATTTTCCTTATGTTGAACACAAATAACGATATTTTGAAAAAAGATGGAAACCTGTAACCATTGACTTCCATCATATTTGTTTTTTCTACTATGGAATATTTTTCAGCTTTCTTCAAAATATCAGCAGAATAATTTTTAAAACTCAAAGTTTTGGAACCACTTGAATGTGAGGAAGCAGTGAGGAAGGAAGTTCAGGAAGGAAGTTTTCCCTTTAATAGTCATATAGATACTTTCAATCATAGTTTTTTGTATGATCTGCTAACAACACTGATGTCTCTTATGAAAATGAATCATGGATTTACTACAATTAAAAAAAAAACCTTTTCACCTTCTATAAGGTTGGGAAATTAGCTAGCGAAATGCTATGCAACATCAGTAACATGCCTGTTATGCGCAACTTCTTCACTGCATATGGTCAACTTAAAGGTCAAATCTGTATAATAAATAAGCAAAAAAGTATCAACTGTGCTAACTAACACTTGACATTATTTCAATGTAAAGTCTTCAGTATGAATAAATATTTGATGCCGATTTCAATATGGTTTATTGTTACACCTCAAACACACACATTCATTAAGGATTATAAAACAAAGGAAAGAAAACAATGGAAGGAAGCAGACAAATGACCTTACTGACATGCTTCCACAATCCGTGACAGGTGCTTAAGCTATTTATTCTGAAACATGATGCTAGCACAGTCATGAAGAGCTTGCTCACCACTGATATTATAGTATCCTCTCAGTCACCACTGATGGCTTAATGCATCAATGACTGCTTTTACATGGACATCTTTAATCTAATTATTTGCTTTAGTCTAAATAAGACAATAATATGATTAAGGTGTTTATATGAGTTGCTTTTTGAATGTTCCTGTTTTACATGGTATAGTACAAAGTTCAATAAACGTCATTACGTAACCATTCAACGATAGTTTCCTCGAGCGTTTCACGCCACAACAGTTCACGTTTGTTACATTCAAGTAACATTTGTGTTCGTCAAGGTCAACTGCAGTCCATTTCTCACTTATGCATGCAAACAGACAATGACAGATACAAATTCTCAAGAAACAGGCCACCTCTGTTACTTGACATTATGGTTTATTTTGTGATTGTTGGATGGTTTGTTTCAAATTATGTTTATCATTTGGTGTGGCCAATCATGGTCCAATCACATGCAGTTTTGTCTTAATTTGACCGCCGTGCAAAAGCTCAGAAGGTAAGACATGTAAAAACTTAGTCAAAAAGCTGTCCACACTTTGCCTTCAATATTAGCAATCTGTAAACACTTTTGAACACTTATTAAAGTGTTTAATCTCACAATGTCTTTGGGGAAAATAGAGAGAGCAACAACAATGTTTAATGTCTGCAGGGAATGCCTCAAACTCAGCAAAAACAAATTGTGACCAAATTGCTGTAGAATTGATCAAATGATGCTTGCCCCGAATTACATACCCATCATGTCCAGATTCCTAAGATAGTAATAAGGAGCAATAGCTGAGCTTTTCACACAATGGGGCCAGACCTTTTCAATGCAAGCATTAACTTTACATAACAGCTGCAAACTCAGGAGAAACAACAGCCACCATCTCAGACTTTTGCTCTGAGCTGTGCTCAGTGACAGTGAGAGGAAGTCTGGACAATCAGCTGTCACATTGTCTTGGCCAGGCTTGTATTGAATGCTGTAATTAAAACAGAGGCATGCAGATCATTGGGCAAGTCTCAATGAATTTGGAATACCAGCCAGCAAGTCAGAGAAAAGAAAGCAAAAAAATTGTGTGGCTAGGACATGGTCTGAATTTGGATTCAAGCCCAAAGCAAAAATGACATGGCCAAGAAATGGTAGATCAGTTTTCCTAAAGCAGCACTTTCTTCATTGAGCTTTACCCCACGATTTTACAGTACAGACTGGAGCTGTCTGTCATGTTCATCTGAGTTGTTGCCATAGACAATTTGTCATGAGCCAGGTCTGATCTTGTTTATTATATAACTCAGTATTGCCTCTTTGGGCTTGCAGCTGCAGGTTCTCCCCATTAACTATCATGGCATCAGCACCTGTCGCCACACATTGCCTGTTAACGCCCCTACTTAAGCCTCTTTGTTCTCTGTTTCTGTGTCAGATTAATGTATATCGCTTCTGTGGTTCACCTCACTGTTTGTGGATCACTACACGTTTGTCCAGTCAAGTAAGTCCAGTCCTGCGTGCTATCATTGTGTGTGTGTACTCTCACCTACGCTCTGCTTAACCAGCCTTCAAGTGTCTGTCTGTATTTGGTCCCGAGCCGGGGTTCGTCAGATGACGCCAGCTCTTTACCTCTATTCCTTCTCAGCCCTCTCGTGGCGGATCCTTCTGTTTGCATCTGATTGAACTTTTGAGTAATCCAGCACTGCGCACAGCCTGGGTATTACGTGCGGCAGTCTGCCTTTGTTGAACTGTACCTAATAAACTGTCCTCATTTTCCCGCAATTCTGGTATCCTGTCTAGCCCGTTACACAATTATGTCATTTAAGTAGCACCATCCTATCCATCAAAAACTTGAGACATCATTCTTGCCGAAATGCCCTAGGTGCTGAGGCTAGACCATAAGGTAGCTGTGTAAAGTAATAAAGTCTGTCATGAGTAACAAGCTGTCAGATCTCTACCCTCCTGATGTGGTGGCAGGCATTCTGAATTTTTTAATCCTTCCTTTTGAATGATCACCAATGGTGACACCCAAGGAGATGTGTCCACTTTTTGCTATGATGCCTTCAGAGTTCCGTATCTTTAGTTCTTGTGACACTGAATCTCTCACCACAAATGGCAGTCTGTAATTTTTGTTGATCTGGAGGCACATAAAAACACACATTTATGTACAAAACCAGTAGGCAAACCCACCAACTCAGTGGAGTTTCCCGAAGCCTGGCTGTTCCCTGGAGAAGATGTAAAAGATCCATTTCTTATTTTAATTAGCAAAGTAAAGAGTAGGGTTGGGTATTGTTTGGTTGTTTTTCGATACCGGTGCTAAAGCGATACTTTTAAAACGATACCGGTGCCAAAACGGTGCCTGAACCGATATTTTTTAGCCCAAAAATGATGGTGGATGACTCTACAAAAATATTTTATTGGACAAAATATTTGAAAAAATCATTTTAATAGAACAATATAATTACAGTTTAAAGTAAACATCAATTCATATTGTATTACATTAATACATTTCCTTTGATCATTTGTTGGTTACCATGAATTTAAGATTTGCATTATGAAATTAAATTAGCTTACGATTAACCTGTGGAGGGCTTGCAGGGGCCACAAAATTTTAGGAGCACATTTTAACATATACATCACAAAATACTTAACATTATTCGAAGTGATTTGCTTTCATGCATCACTCTGCAGTCTTCATAAACAAGATAATTAAATAACTTAAATTCAAAATAATCTTCCATGTTCATTTATTTGACAAGTAACGTTATACTGGTGTAGGATAACACATTTCTAACATTCAAGTACATCAAGGCACATTGCTGCACCTGTAAACTTTAACAGGCCTACAGTTGAAGTCAAATTATTTTGCCATCCCATTCATTTATAAAAAATAATTATTCTGGAGTCATAATAAGTCCTATTTCTTATTGTTTATTATATGAATATAAGCTGTTTTTTTAATTAAAATTAAAATAAGGTCAGTATTATTAGCTTCCTTAAGAAATATTTACTGTATATTTTTGATTTACACAACAAATCAGTTACAAAATAATTTGACTAATTATTTTAACTTTCATAGTTAACTGATTAAGACTTAATGACACTTTATTCTGAATAAAAAAAAAACTATAAAATACTTAAAGGGACTTTGTCTGAATACAACTGTGCTGGACATCCAGCATTCTTCTGCCTCTGGTGCCCAGACAGCAGCTCTGCACAGGAAGTTTGGCCAGAGGAGAAATGTTGTGCCCAGCTGAGCCTGGTTTCTCTTGAGGTTTTATTTCCTTTACTTGCGTTCATTGATGAAGTTTGTTCCTCACCACTGTCGCCAATGGCTTGCTTAATTTTGAGACTTGTGGAGGTGCATCGATGCATTTGGTCTTCAGTATTTAGGCTTACACCAGTGGAAATTAAGCTACATTGAAAGAAGTAAACTGAACTACATTTACATCTACATTGAAAAAGTGCTATAGAAACA